CCGAGCCTTCCCATCTCTAGTTGGAATAGGATTTGACAGCCCCCCCCCCAGACATACACCCTTTCTGGTGAGGGCAGCCTCTGGAGGGAGAAAGAGAGTCGTGCAAAGTGTCAGATTGTAGCCCCAGGTCACTGGATTTACACTGTCCTTTGGAATTTAAGGGGTGTCATTGACCCCCTCAAGGCTCCATGTCTTGGTCACACTAAGCGTGACCAGATGTAGGGAGAGGGTGATTGACTATTGGGCACCAGCATCTGCAGATAGATATCTTGTTGTCACAATGTTTGCTGTTTGTTGGCTTGTTATAGTGAGATAGTTTTTGAAAAAGCACCCTGGGACCTTTTCAATAGCCCATACTTTTGAAGATCTATAGTTAACAGTGTCCAAAATTATAATTTTAAAAAGTGTCAGTTTCTAGACGAGCAGTCACACATTCCCTGGCAGAGGCATTGACCGAAGCCATACACGAGACACACTGTCAGACTGGATGGAACAAGACTGACGCAGACGATCCCAAGGGTCACTTTCTGAATAACCAACAAATAGATTCCAAGTGGCAAAGAGCCAAAGTAGAAAACCCCCAGGAGCCACACTAGTATTCTGGGGACGTGGTTACAGAGTTTAGAGAAAATGTCTTGATCGAGATGGCTGTGAGAGTTTACAGATGCTGAGTCAAGGCTGTGGTCAGTGTAGTAATCCGATAGAGTGTTTTGGCTGGGAGTCCTCGTGGAATCTCTCTGCACTTCCATGATGGTGATCACCAGGCAGTTTGAGGACCCATGAGAAGGACTCGAGGAATCCAGGTTCTTGGGTGTCAAGACCACTTCTTTGCAGTCTGAGCTCCATGCTGTTTTTTCCTTGGCCACAAGTTTGTACATAACATTTGTATCGTCGGGGAGCCCTTCTACTTCCTCTTCCTGCAGTTCGGTCTCATGGCGGCAGAAGGGACAGCTGATGCACAGGGAGCCATCGCCCATGTGGAGGATTTTTGTCAGGCATTTAGCACACACCCTATGGAGGCAATCCAGGATCTTGGGTTTCCGGCTGTGAACGTTAAACTTCTGATAACAGATTTTACATTCTAGCTCATCATTCAGTACTTTTTCTTCCCCCTCTGTCTGAGGATAATTCATCTTTAAATTAGGCACACTGTAAAAGAAGACAGAACAGTAGTAAGTTCTTGCTTATTCTTAATAAGCCTGCTTGGTGGTAACTTCTCTCTAGAGTATATTCGGTAGCTGAATTTCATCACAGGGGAAATGGGTAGCAGTAGTTAAGAAAGATTTCAGTGGTTAAAATCAGTTATCACTTCCTGTTATAAGCATCCCATTTTCCATTCTGTGTAATTCTCTTAAAAATTACCTGAACCTGACTTGTTCTATATCCTGCTTCTCAAAATGAAGCTACGATAAATTTCTTCTCATACAGACAGAATAGGTGCATTTAGTGCTTGCTCTTTGTGTCTTCTTGAACACCTGTAACCTTATATGGTCTTGTGTCCAAGTTAACCTTTCTGTACCAGTTTTTACAAAACAATAATAACAAGCTGAAAACCTTTTTTCTTAAGTTGCTATCTCACATGTTATTTCTAGTATTGAAATATACTTTCCCCCAAATGCAGTACTTTGAAATTCCAAATTACTGAGGGAGGCCTAGTGCAAATTTCCTCCAGTGTGAAGGCAGAATTTGGGTTCTAAGTATTGAAGTTTGGTCATTGTCCTCTGAAGGGTGTATTTATGTAGTTTTAAAAAAAAATTATGAGGGCCAAGAAGTCCAGTGCAGCAACCGCAATGTTCCTCAGGCCTTTAGCCATGGTGGGGCATTTTGGGGCCCCACCATTTGATGATGCCACACACCCCACCCCAGAGTGCCTAGCCCTGCAGTGTTAGCAAGGCTGAGGAAAGAAAGGAAAGTTGCCTTGCTGCTTCTGGTCAGTTCCACTCCCTCCATCAGCTGTTAAATCTAACAGCTGTATCGGGGAGTGAAACTGACCAGAAGCAGCAGGGCGGCTTCCCTTCCCCAGCCTCCCCACTGCTTGGGGGGGGGGCAGGCTAGGGATGGAGAGAGAGAGAGAGAAGGCATGGTGATGGTGGTAGGGAAGCCAATCTCTCTCTCTCTCTCGCATAACTTACCATGGCAGAAGGGTGGGGGGGGTTAGTGATGGTGGGGAAGCCAATCTATCTCCCATAACTTTCCATGGCAGGGAGGGGGTTGGTGATGGTGAGGGAAAGCCGATCTCTATCTCCTGGGTTTGCCAGTCTCCATGTGGTGGCTGGAGATCCCTTGGCATTACGCCTGATCTCCAGGTGGACGCTATGGCATTCTATCCCATTGAAGTTCCTCCCCTTCCCCAAACCCCGTCCTCCTCAGGCTCCACTCTTAAAATCTCCAGTTATTTATTATTTTTAAGTATAAGCACAATAGGTGCCCCACAAAAAAAATGTTTGTCCCACAAAACGAAAAATCCTGGCTACGGCCTTGATGTTCCCACACCTCTTTGTCTTCACAACACTTTGCAGTGGGTTATGATAAGGGAGAATGACCGGGCCAAGGACATCCAGTGAACTTCATGGCAAAATTTCAGATCTCAGTTCTGCAGCTAGCTAGCTCTTTACAGTATCTGGGTAGTCATATATTTGACCTCTGCATATGTGTACCCGAACATACTAGAGCTCTACCCAATAAATTTGTTCTCCATTTCCCTGTTCCTAAGGAACCATGCTTCCGTGCATTTTACACGCTCTTCTGCCCCCATCTGCACACAGGCACGATCTTGGGGGCAGAGCACGATGCAATGCCTGAAAAGTGCATTTTTCCCCATGTGTATTTCCTGCTATATAGAGGCAAATACCATTTCCACAAACTTTTACTTTGCTAGGCTGTTTCAGAATATAGAATGTCATCTAGCCATCCTGCATGCCGCTCTCCAGTGAGAAGACCAAGCGTTTATCAAGTTTTCTATAGCTAGGATGCTTCTGCAGCTTGAATCCGAGGAGGTCTGCTTACAGTATTATTTCAGAAATCAGCTTTGTGTCCTAGAAAGCAGAAAGTAAATCCAGAAAGTTCCTTTCCCTTCCCTGAAAAAGAGTTAGCCTCACTGTGTTAGATATTACTGGTCCCTGCCACACGGCAGGGAAACCGGTCAAAGTGCGGCTAATTAGAGCTGCACCAAAATAGAGACGCTGCAGGCGGGATCCCACGAATCCCGTGGGCCACGCGCCGTTGCTCCCCGGCACGATCAGATGCCGGGGAGGAAGAGACGAGTGGGAGGGGGAGGCTGCCGAACTGCGCATGTGTGAGTATGCGCAGTTCGGCCGGGGGCCATGGATGCGCCGGCGGCAAGACGCGCCGGCGATCCCACGGCCAGCCGTGATGCGGACCTACCGGATGAACCACCTAGGTAGGTGGTCATGTTTGCTGCGGGGCTGTCGGGGGAAGGGCCGGATCGGGAACGGGCCCGCAACACTTCCCAGATGTTGCGGTGGGATCACGCCCGTTTGCTGCGCCCCCGATCCGGCCCACTCCCGACCCAAAACCCCTCGTGAGAACAGGGCCACTGTATGTCTAATTCATCAGAGGTGGCAAACCTGGCATCACCCCCCGCACCTCTCATTTTGCTGTTCAAACGTTGCTCTTTGGTGAACATTCATGTCACCTAGTACTGTTGCCCAATTAAATAACCCTCAGTTGATTACTCGTATAAGTTATAGTCTATTGATGAAATCTGCATACATTTGCAATCGCAAAAACCTAAAGAAAACCAACAACTGTGTGTCTTGTGTGGATGTGGATGTTATTGATGCCCCAATACAGTGTGTCTTTTTACGTTAGCAAGTATAAAATATGGACCAAATAGACAGGCTTTGCAGCCCAGAGAGGTTAACGAACTTGTTTATATTAATTATAAAAGCATATGAAAGGGGGGAATGGCATAAGAAAGTATAGAAAAAAGTAATGGTAGTGATTTAGAATTGTTTCCACTTTTACATGTGGAAAACATGGAGTATCCTTGGAAAGAATGGATGGCTTTTGACTGGGTGGCAAAGAGGATACTGTTCAAATAGCAGGATGCATCCCAGCTAGTTCATTACGTCCTTCCTGCAGTGAGGGCGAGGGACACCCACGTGCCTGAGATCCACACCAGGCTGAAAATTCTTTCCAACGTTGTGATGTCTGAACAAAGCCTAAGAGTGGATCCAGCCAGTTTCCAGGGTGCTCTTAATCCCTCACCTGACCACTTTGCTTTGTCTTTTAATTCATCCTCCCATGCTTGCCTCCTGTCCTGCCACCCTCTCCCTGTTCCAGATGCAAAGTGTCATTATCGATAGTGTCAGGAGTTCCTGAGGACTGAACGGGGAACCTCATGGCGTGCTCGGGCCTCGAACACTCCTCAGGGACAGAAGAGAGTAGGGAGATGCAGCGCCAATCCCTGTAACTGCCAGGCAGCATAAAGCTTCTAGACTGGTCAGGCCTGGCTTTCTGTGCTTTTAGGCTCTGGCTTCAGGGATCCTGGGCTGGAAGACACATCCTCCACCATGTCTAGATTCAACTGGGCTGTGGCCTTTTTCAGTCTTCACCCTGGCCTTTAGAACAGGTAGCTAGGGGAGATGAAAGGGCTACCTTCTGTATCACTGCAATGGAGCTATGTTCCAGAAGGCCTTCTGTTAATTGATAATATATTGTTGAAGGTTTTCTGCTGGGGTTTTGGTCTGTGGGTATTTTATCGTTTCACAGCTTTGATGCTGATTGTTGGTACTGGTTGGTGTGACTTTTGTATGCTATGTTGCATGCTTGTCAACTGCACTAATTAACTATGTTGTGGGAATGGCGGGGTAAAAGAGTTCTAAATAATATTAATGGAAAAGGGCAGAAGATATTCTGTTAAATTTATCAAGAAAGTTCCTTGGTGTAACCTCAAGACTAAACTACTGTCAAAAAACTTTCAGCTAGCCCCAAATGGAGTGAGCAGGATGCAGCCTAAATGTGATGCAGAGACTAAATTTGGTGGGTCTTGGAAAGGCTGCATTTGTTGCAGGTCAGTTTCTGGACACGGATTAAATGGCAGATGTTGATCTTTACAGTCTTCGGAATCCTGATTATCTGAAAGGAAGTCTTCTCCCTCAATTTTCCCTCCCCCTTGTATCAAGGTTGTAAGAAGAGGCATCTTCAGTTCTGCTACCTTATTCAGATAGCTGCTTTCCAGGATGAAATCTCCTGTGCATGAGCAAACGGAATGCAAGAAAAAAGAGTTTGTCCATCAGTAGCTGTAGTTAAGGAGCTGCGGAGGCTCAAGTGGTTAAGACGCTGAACTGCAGGCTGTGGAAGGTCAGCAGTTCGAGACCCGGGTTGCCGCATGACGGAGTGAGCTCCCATCTCTAGCTCCAGCTCCTGCCAACCTAGCAGTTCGAAAGCAAGAAATTGCAAGTAGATAAATAGGTACCACTTCAGTGGGAAGGTAACAGCATTCCGTGCGCCTTGGTGTTTAGTCATGCCGGCCACATGACCACGGAAACATCTTCGGACAGCGCTGGCTCTTCGGCTTGGGAATGGAGATGAGCACCGCAACCCTAGGGTCAAACTCGACTGGCTTTCGAGCAAGGGAACCTTTACCTTTACTAGCTGCAGTTATCGTGTTATAGTGTTTCTCAAAGGCTTTGCAAGACTATGAAGAAGAACAACAGACTTCCTCTTCCATGGAAAGCATTGAAAGTTCCCTTTCTTCCTCACTAGTCAACTAGGGCAGACATCCATAATCAGTCGCTTATGTTTCCCTCAGTATTTACGAGTTTTATCATTGTGCGAAGTGCTGGAACATAGCCAAATATGGCTTCAGTTTTATTTCTGGTTCCCAGCATCCCAGACAGCTGTGTGCTTCTAGGTGATAAAATGGAGCATGATTCTGTACTGTAAACATTACAAGTTTCCATTAGGGATTGCAGGCTAGTCTGAACGGATGAAGTGCTTCTCAGCTCCGCACACATCTGCTTGGTATATTTGGAAAGCTGAACAGTTTTGTGTGTGTGTGTCTTATGCGGCCATCTGACCATAGAGTATAATTGAAGCAATTCTTCATCTGTTTTCCTTTAGAGTTTTTCAGTGACACATGCTATTTTAGACAAGCATTCTTCTCCTAATCTCCTACCCCATGC